AGCAAGATGGGGTGTGCCAAGGATTTTTGGAAAATTGAGTGTGGGGACACAGACATAATTGAAATCCCCCGTGTTGGTCCGATGAAGTAAGTCGGTTGCTTTCGCACGTCGCGGAATGCGCCCGCGGGCACGGCGCGAAAAGAGAAAAATCCAAATTCAATCCAAAAAGTATTGTCGAACTTCCCACCGCGCTACGGCTCTTCGTTTAGAGCGAAAGGGCTTCGGTACACTCCGTGTGTCCCGTTTCCGTATCAAGTCCCGACGTCGCTGGTTGGTCAGTTCCGAGTCCGACGTGGAGGGTCTCAGCCGTGTGGCCCTTTCCTTGTGCTCGTCTTCACTCCGTATTCGGTAGTGGAAGTCCTTTGATGCGTAACGATCGAAACGCTGGCACTCAGTGCACAGGGTTCGAGGCCAATGGGGCGCCACTGCCGTCCACGGAATGACGATCAGCTCGTTAAAATGACAACAACACTGAGTAAGGCAGGAAGTGAGTATTGATAATGACAAAACCCGCGTCAACGAATCCAGAACAACGATTTTCGGGAGGGAAGTAATATCGTCCGCCGATCCGTGCGACAACTTCTCGTACGTTCCACTTGCAAACACGGGTCCTTTCCTCCTTGTAAGGGAAGGGGCGCGTTGGCGTGGGAGACACGGGAGGTTGGCGCCCAATCGAGGTGTGGCCGTCAGTCCACATATCAATCAATCGAAATGAGTTTGCAAAAACCTCGAGACGTCATCAAAAGTCACAATCGAGAAAGCCAACTAATGTTTTCCTTCCTTTCGACACGAGAACTCGTACAACCATGTCGGAATCGGGTTAAAGTTTCGGGGGACCAACCCGCGACTCAGGTTCATCAAGCCAGGTCGTCGTAAACCCGAGGCGCCTTGCTCTTTCGAGGCTGCCTCCCAGACTGGCTGCAGATGTCGTGCAGTATAAGATAGACGACATGCGCAGTGTAATTCAGAGCGACAGATCGAAACACTTTTGCATTCTCGAACAAGATCCCGTCAAGCTCTATGTCTTATCAACGCAAAAATTCACATACAAGCATTTATATGCATACATCCACTGTGGAAGGTGCGAAAATGACAATGGTGCACAAATAAGAAATAAATCGGGGGATCGTACACATGCATCCACCGTTCACAAGACAAGAGGATTGAGTTCCTTTGCATCCGGGGATTACCCAGGAAACTAATGGAAGAGTTCTGGAAGAAGTTTTTCTTCGCAAGAAATCATAAGGATTCACTTCTGTTCACAAGAGAGACAGGCTCATAACAAAGCGTCATTCAGATCAAAGAGAGAAGGAGAAGAGATGGGTGAGAAGTGTCGAGACAGGAGACACTGGAATCCGACAAGGGAACGTTCGGCTTCACAGCCATGAACTCACACCAAAAAAATGATCCGCAACCATGAAGGCGCATTCACCGTGAAATTCCAATATGGCCCTTGGCCAATCATCCACTCAACTCCAATTACCGATCCTCATACCCGCACCGACGATCCCGGCCGTCGCGTGCTAACGTCCGCCGCTGCGATCGTCACCCCGCTGACGCAAGCTCGACTCGGCTCGCTCCGATCCCACAGTCCGTCGTGGCGATCAAGCGCGCAACCGGCCAGCCTACAGTCAGCCCATCAGGACTTTTCGACTCGCACAAAATGCATCACCTAGCCATTGCTTCCCGGAAGCTGGCTTGGGAGTTGAAAACGTAAGAGAGATTTGAAGGCGCGCTTGCGGAATTTATAGTTGCGAGAAAGAAGGCAGACGGGGGAGAAGAGAAAGGGGAAATCGAGGTGTAAGAGGAGAAGATTCAGCGAGGGGTGCTCAAGGGAAGCCATGTTGATCCTTCGGAACCCAATGTTCGGCCAATCAGATTCGTCGCGCAATAGGAAGATCCTCTTACTCAACGCGTTTGATTGGTGAGCAGGGGTAATCGAAGGATCAACCGGGCTTCGCGAGCCAAGGTTGAAGAGCGAGAAGGAAAGAGGCGTGAGAAGCAGCGCGAGACGGGTCCAAGATTCAGATGATCAAGAAAGAAAAAGCAGGCGCGCAAAGAGCAGAAAGAGGGAAAACAGTTGTGATAGGAGAAGAAGAGGAGGGGGGGAGAATGACGAGGGAAATAAGGAGGAGGAAGCCCGCATGCGCGGCGCCGACAACAAGAGAAAAAGGCACCAAAACAGTACCAGCTTGCATGCGTCCTAATTCAAAAATTGAAATCACCATATCCGCGCGAGAAAAGTCGACACGGAAAAAGAAAGTCCTATGCCTATCCGTATTCTCACAAAATTCCTAGAGTTTTCTTCGACGTGACCGAGAGCATTCATGCACAAAAAAAGGACACGTCGGGTTTCGCTTATTTCGGAATTCCTAACTGTCGAGCCCGATTCCTAGTGCACTCGCTAAGACGCACACAATTTCCCATGCATTTCCCGAATTACAAAAAGCAGAATTCCAAGAATCGATAGAACCTCCGAAAATTGGGGGCCTGAACAAGGCACCTGAAATCAAGAAAAGCGACGGGGGCTTTGTTGGGTCAGTATGATACAAAAGAGGGAATTAAGTCAAGGGATACGAAATATAGCACGGGGTCAGGAAGTGGTTCGTCACAGGAGCCCCTTGCAAGGTAGGGAGGAGCGTATGCACTCATCATCACTCCTATCTGTTGTCACGGGTGGAATTTTCTTAAAAAAAACAAGAAAAAAAGGCTGCAAAGCAACCTCAAACCTCAGTGCCTCTCCCATTTGTTGAGGACGCTCTGCAATGATCTCCAAGAGACGGCCAACATACATCAGAACCAATCCATTCAGTAATCCGCAAGGGCTTCTCGGGCAATCAATGTTGCTGGAGCTGACCCTTGCTTAAATCCCCCCCCCCCCAAAGTCCCTTTCTCATTTGTAGGCTGCAGAGTAGCTATGGCCGTCCGCTGCCCCTTTGGAAGGCCGAGGCCGCTCTGCAGCCACCCCGAAGACATGATCAGCATTAAGTAGAAGTCAATCCACTTTGTTCATCCCTCGGGTGGCTTGTGTAATCACCGCTGGCGAAATCCACAAGAAACAAGGAGTTTATTCCCTGTTATTAGGCCTGCTCAGCCAATCCCCTGGGCTCCAGGGCAATCCATGTTGGCAGGGTCTCATTACTCAATCATTCCCTGTTATTAGGCCTGCTCAGCCGATCCCCTGGTCTCCAAATTCGAAAAAACAGTTGTTGTCGCTCACAAATTCAAGAACCGTGAATCAATATGGGGACCCGGGAACCTGCACTTCCAGACGTACAAGAACCCWDCTTCCTTTGGGCCAAAAACGGACAAATTTGCAACCATTGCAAATACTATTCTTCGTATCTCTGAAAATTGTAATGACAGAGGCACTTTGTGCCTTGGTGTCCTCACATTGGCAGTCGAACGTGGGAAACTTGGGTATGCTAGCAACATCATCTTAGCAGGGCTCAGATGGATGCAACGACGAGAGTGTAACAACCCCTTCTGGARCCAGATCCAGGAGATCGTCAAAGACTTGGTTTCTGATACAACCCTGTGACGCAGGCTCCGYGGAGGCCTGTTGCTCAGCATGATGCTTTCACGATTCTTCCCGCCTTAGCACTTGTTTTTTTGATTCCATGAACCTGGAGAACCACTTGGTCCGATTATAAGAAATGTTAGACGAACTGTACCTACCTGTCTRTACGGCCTGTATSCAGGACTCTGCACTTAGTATACCAGTGCTACTCGCTGCATCAGCARCACTTTGCGAATACAATTTTGGAAGCTTGCCGACAGAATATCTACACTAAGTACACGGAGTACCCGAGTTCCTTGGACCTACAGTACCACGACTGGTGCTTTTTCGACTCAGCAGGTAACGGCTGTATGGCAAAGACAAAGGCCCAACTGGCGGACTATGTCAAGGCTGGGCGTCAGAATAAGCATTGCAAGTATCTACCTCACTATCTGGCTCAAATTYGGTACCATAATCCCGGTTCGCATCGGACGACCTACGGTTACTCACGGATGTACCTTCTGGAAATTCACTACGGCGAAAGGCCCGTACAACCTGTCCGACAGCCAGCGGCAGAAGAAGTGTGCTTCCTCGCAAGCATATGGACTGTATTTTCGATAGCATTCTTGCATTTTCAGCATTTCCGTATTATTTTATTTTTTCCTTTCTTTTCTTCTTCTTTTTCTTTCTTTGAAATTCATACTCGACCAGAGTCGAGCACGTAGAAACTAGAATATTTAAGTAGATGATAGCACAGTAGGACTCCTCAATCTGAGTGGTGTATTGAGTGGAAGGATTGAGTTTCTGTAACCCTTGGTTATGGAACGGCGGAGGGGAAGGTGCTATACGCCATGATATTAAAGCTCAAGGCATCTTCTTCTAAATTCTGGGTCCATTGTGTTTAATCTTTTCTCATGGACACGAGCCTCAACATCGACCTTGTCATGGCTTGGGAACGATGCTGAGGTGTCGTCTTCAATAAGCATCTCTTCTTCGAGTATACTCTACGGAGTCACGCTTCATTTCTATTGTTCTGATTACTTGAACCATTTATGTTGAATTAATTATATTTTTGTTTTTCCGTCTTTTCGGACGCAGCGTGGGAATGCTGATGGACCTTCGCTTGATACGAGATAACGGGTTTATTGGGATTTCTTATTGATTTCTTATTGATTTCTTATTGTTTTCCTATTGAGTTTATTGATTAATATATTGATTCATTTTCTAAGACGATTTTTTTTTTTTTTTTTAAATCGTCCTCATAGTGTCGTGAAACAGTGCTTGCATCAGTGTTGTGATGTGTCCTTTCGATTTGTGACACGCATGGTAAGGGGCGAATGGTGGTGAAGGCAATCGCCTCTGTCGAATCGTCTAGTTGGTTCGAGCATCAGCGCGTCACGGAATTCGCCATCGTCGTCGGAGTCGTCTTGTGTGTTATCTCCTTCGTTGCAGGGCGCATGTACTCGCGGAATCGAAGCGGTAAGGTCGGTAGTCGGCGTGATAAGTGGTCCAATTGCGGCCGATATTGGATGGAAGGGACAAGTGGAAACTAGTACGTACAACATGCTGGACCGAGCGTGCCTTATCCTGCAGCTGCAGGGCCGGCCGGGCACCCTGCGCCGCCAGGAGTGTCTCCTTTATACTATGGCAGTGGGCAGGTACATGCGCCTCTAGGTACTCACGTGCAACCAGCCCCAACTCTGGCTCCATCGGCAACTCCGACTCCTATGCAGTACCAACCAGTACTCAATCAGTGGAGCGCACACCCCTGGGGTCCACCCCAACAGCAGCCTACTCCTTGGGCAAGCAACGCACCATGGATGGGAAGCGTGCCATTCCCTCAGGTGCCTACAGTGGTACAACCTATTCAACAGCCTGCTCAGGCGGTGATTCAGCCGCAACAGCCTCTTGCTCAATCGAATCCACATGGCCTTTATGGTGGACATGGTGGTAGCTCGGCGTCAAGCGGAGGGGGCAAACGACCTGCCGCGAACAATTTTCCCGGTCCAGGAAATCGCGCATACTTCACCAAGGAATATATGGAGATACTGGAGAGCATAAAGTCTAACAAAGCAATTGATGAAGCCAGGAAGAACCTTGTCGGCCCAAGAACTGGGGATGTCAAGAGGAGTGGCACGCGGAGCTTTGAGCCTCCCGATGAAAGCAATAGAGATGGTGCGCGTTTCGAAAAGAGCGAGGATATGAAAGCGTGGGTTACCTCCACGCTGGGCGAATCCTTGAAACTCATCAACGCGAAATTAGACGATGTTGACAAGAAGTCCAAGCTGGATGCCACTGAGCGTGAGGAGTTGGAGCGCCTCCGGCGGGAAGTGCAAGGCGATAATAAGGAACAATCGAGCAATGAGAAGCGCAAGAGAAGTGGAGTCCGCACTCCGATGGAGAACCCCCCATCTGCTGCAAGCGCCAGACCAAGGTCAAAGGGCAGTTCGAAAACCAAGCCAAAACGCATTGAGTTGTCTGATGACGAAGGACCTTCAGGCACTAAGCAAAACTTGCAGACCAAGCTCGAAAGCACAAGCAGCGAATTGTCGAACATCAAGCGGATGCTTGCAGCACTTATGTTCAGCTTGCCTGATCCGAAGGGAAAGGCAAAAGTCATCCTGTGAGAAGAGAAGGAACAACTGGAGGAAGAGGTTCCCGAAGAAGTGAACGTAGTACAAAACGCTCACGACAACTGTGAGGAGGAAGATCCCGGCGATGACGGGTTTGCAGCGTATATGAAGGTGCGCACAGGCATAAACGGATCCCTACACTACACCCGTGTACAGGAGTTGTGCAGAGAACGCGATATCGAGTATTTTAAGAAGGATGTTGCAGTCTGGGAACTCGCGAGACAAGACTTGCAAGAGTATGCCGACTCACTCAGGGAGGAACGGGGAACTCGAGATGGCGAGAAATCCCGGAAGAAGGGTACTACCGAGGAAGCCAACCGTGATGATGGCAGCGAAGATCAAGACACGGTGAAGGGAAACTAATCCTTGGTAGCATCAGGTCGATTCGTCGTGCTGTCGCTCGAATTATCAGTGCGAAAAGGATCTTTTATCGCACACTATCTAACTTGTTGGAACGCACTCAGGTGCTTTTGACTATCTTAGCATGTTTAAAAGGCTATGTGCGGTGGGGGCGTGCTTATGTTCACTTTTGGCTCCACCTCAACTGTGAGGAATGGAGTAGACTGATTGACGTGCACTGCTGCGTCTACGTACTACTGTCGGTAAACCATAAACTTGTGTATGTTGGCAAAACGGCTAGATCTCTTTAAGAACGCTGGTCCGAACACGTCGCGCCGTACGTGGGAATAGCAAACAGAAGGTTCACTCGTGGTTTCGAAAAACTGGTATCGATTCGTACGTTCCCATTCCTATTTGGTTTGGAAACGATTCTGAAATTGAATGCATGGAACAAGATATTATCAAGAGTCTAAACCCAGGGTTAAACTTGCGGGGAATTGTGAAACGCCGGAAGGTACGCAGGTCCCATGGGAATTGTAAGCCTAAGGTCTTACCTGCAGTAGATGTACTGGAACCACTTCTGTTCTCATGTCCGTGCGTTAATGTGGAAAAAAAAACAGACTTGCTCCGCTTGTTAAAAATCTTGTTTAAAAATAAGGTAAAAGCCGTAACTATAATGAACAACACAAGTGGAAGGTGGATGCGGGTATGGCGCTTGGTATCTTTATTGTTTGGGCACAGTAAGGTGAGAATTGAGCATACTAACTTCCTGCTTAAAGATGCTAAGTATGCAATTGAACAAGGTGGCCCTTGGTCAATCACTCTGCTTGTCCATACCCGAACAAAAACCGACATTATGAAATTTGAAGTCATTTCTCTCCTTCGTGCCTCTTGGAAAAGGAAGGAACTTGTCAAACACAGCCTCAATAAACTCTTGGAACTCGATGCTGCTGTGAAAAACATAAACCAACCACGAGGGAGACAAATTGTTCGAGGCATTTTAACAAATGTATGTCAAACGAAGTTTGGTGTGAACCCCCGAACCAGGATTGTGGCAAAAATTCCTTTTTGTACGACTGTCGACAAGAAGAAAGTTGAATGTTGCTTGAAGGACTGGATCAGGGATAATGTTGTGCCTACTCCGCTAGTTGACTTGTATCCGAAAAAAACTCGTGCTGTTTGGTTGAAAGCCAAATCAGTCGGAGATATATTGCATAGCCAAAAACTTTTCGCACAGCAGAGCACTTTTGAGTGTATGTGCAAAAACTTTGATCTGCCCAAAATTAACGGGCATGTCGCAGTCAAGATTAGCGAAGTTAGTGGCATGGACCCATTCCTTTTTAACGCAAAAAATGTCCCTTTCCCCGGGACAATGGCATCACAAGACAGCCTGAATCGAGCCTGTAAGGAGGCACTGGATGAAATACGAAAAATCGGGTTGATTTCTGGCCAAATTCGAATTCCTTTCAGATCTGTTACCAAGAAAGGTGAGATTAAGCTGCTGGATGTATCTTGAGTGAATATGTCCTTGGAATAAAGCAAGCGTTCGCCGGGCTGGTGTTGGGCCCACTGGACCGCAATGCCAGCGAAACATGGGTTGAGTGTCCTAAACGGTACCAAAAGGGACTAGATACTATGTTTCTACATAATGAGAACTATGTACGTGTCAATTCTAGGAAAAGTGAAATCTTGCGAGAAACTCGCACTGAATATAATGAAATGAATCTGGGGCGTATCGTGAAATGGGATGGGCAGGGAGAACTGCAGTATGCCTATATTATGGCTAAGGAAAAGGACAAAGAGAAAAGAAGACCCATCGTGCCTTCGTTTCAGAGTCCGTTCCGTGCTGCTTCTGGTGTTTTGTCTCTTGCCCTGAACTCGCTTATTTGTAAGGTCAAGGTACCTCATTTCAATCTCAGGACATTGGGCGACCTGCGACAGACGATTGAGGCCGCCAATAAGAAAGTTGGCCCTATGTCTAATTATGGGGTAATCACACGAACCTACGATATAAAGGAAATGTTTACCCAACTCCCGCACGAGATTATTTATCAGGCGGTCCAGTGGATTATTGAGTGGTTTGTTCAAAATGGTGTACGATGGATCCGACTGAATACCGGTAAGAAGTAGACAACATTCGGGAAATCTCACGGAGAAGCCGGTTGGAAATCCTTCCGACTTACTGATCTGATCTCCCTAACCAAGTTTCAGCTCAAGCACACTGTGTTTCTAGTATCCGATGCAATCCTACGACAGAGGAAAGGCATTCCAATGGGAGGGAGAGCAAGTCCCTCACTTGCATGTGTGATGTGCATGTTTGCTGAGTATAATTTCATCATATCTCTTGGCGCTGATGCAAAACTTATCACTGGGAAAWGATATATAGATGATCTATTACTCTTTTCCTTTTTTGATAAAAATGACCCAACTGGCTATAACAGGGCTAATGACCGCCTGGATAAGATAAAACTGTGTTATCCCAAGGAACTCAGTTTGGAACGAACCGACTCTGGAATTGGATTACTCGATTTCTTGGAAACAAGGTCAATCGTTTCCGAATTTGAAAAAACAGTTGTTGTCACTCACAAATTCAAGAACCGTGAATCAATATGGGGACCCGGGAACCTGCACTTCCAGACGTACAAGAACCCAGCTTCCTTTGGGCCAAAAACGGACAAATTTGCAACCAT